TGAGGGTCAGCCTAGAGCGGGACAGTATCGTAAGCATTGCTCGATTCTGTAGTTTTTGTAATCTACTTTTTTCATTTTGTCCTAATAGGTAGAGTATTGTAGCACAATAAGTAAAATGGGCAAAATTGTGTTGTATATTATATTTTTGGTCCACTGCGTCAGGTGCTTACTATATCTGTATAGATAATTTATTTTAAAAGATATTGTTTTTGTAATATAATATATTGCACTTGAAAATTAGACATGCATTATTTTAAAAATTATTGCTAACTTTTAATTTGTTGCAAGTGCAATATGGAGATATTTATAAAAATGTTATGTGGTGCATTGAATTAGTAATTTAATTAGCTTTCAAATAAGGTCTCACACTTTATAATACAATTTTTGTAACCCGATAGAGGGCGCTAAAATTATAAGTATGTTCACAGGCATTTATCTAAGTGGTCAAGGCTGGTTTTATTTAATTCTCTAATACTACCTCACGTCACTTACTGCTTAACAGTATTATGGGGTCTATTCTGTAAAAATTCCTTTATATTTAACGGTCTTTAAAAATATTTTCTTCTTTAATTCGGTCACTATTTAAACGGATCTTTAGAATACATTAGAGGACAAACTAAGAGAAATCTGTTTAAATAAGGACAGAAGTAAATTAACGAATACAAACATATTTTTAAAGGTCGCCAATATTTTTAAAGGCCGTTAAATATAAAGGAATTGTTACAGAATAGACCCCTATATCTCTTAAACCAAAATGAAAGAAATCGTTTCCAAAAGTTGCAGAATAAAGCTATGCGAATAATATTATCATGTCCTAGATTGACGCCTACTGTGGAAATGCGGATATCTTTAAACTGGCTCTCAATTAAAGACATGTTCCTTTACCAGACATTAATGTTTATATTTAAAATAAAAATAGGTCACGCACCTGACTATCTCCAAAATAAAATTATTTATAACCATCATGTTTACACCCATGATATAAGACTTAGAAATGATTTTTATATTAGTACCGTCAACACCAGTCATGCTCAAAAGTCAATCTTTTTTAAAGGCCTACAGCAATTTAATGACTTGCCAGAAGATCTAAAGAAATTAGAATCAATTAATGTATTCAAACGTAAACTAAAACAATATTTGTTAGATGTAAGTAGGTACTTTAGGTATTGAAGTATTTGTTATTAATATTATTATTCTATGTGTGTTTAATTATATTTTATTTTACAGTTAGATTAATAACTTATTTTAGTTAGACATATATTTTTAGTGAGAAAATGTATTGACTATGTATTCGTTGTTTTTGACTAAATAAAGGATTTGAATATCTTTAGTTTTAATTTAAATCAGACTGTCCAGTTACAAAATCTTCAAAAACGCGGTATGAGAATAGTCCTTTCCTATTATTGATATCTATTACTCATGCGCAAATCCTACTTCCTGTTAAAATCATCAAAATGTGTTGTTGTTGTTGTTGTTGTTTCTTACCCTGGGGTGAGAATCCGTTTTACGATTCGACTCGAATTTAAAATCAAACTACATAAAAGCAAGTCCGTTTAACGGGTTAGATTATTTTGACATTAGGTATGACCTGTCAATAAGGTAATGCCTTTTCTGGATAACATATCGTGCAACAGAGGTCTTTTATATTCTTAGAATATAAAAGGATTATTTATTTTATAAAACAAAACAAAATATAAACATTGATAGGTTCTCTTCATTCAGCTGAAAAACTTCTCCACGACGATTTTCAGGGAGTTTAGAAGGATCACTTCTTTTTTGTAGCTCATCCTTTCTTTAACCTAATAATAATAAATAATATTTTTATAATTTAACACATTATGAGTGATCCTTGCAACTCTGAATGCAGAGTTATTTGTGAAGGTGAGGGAAGACTATTATTATTTTCCATGGCGCTCCGAGGCAATAGTTGTCATTTGAATTATACACCCCAGAAAAACTCCACTCATAAACAAAAAAACTAATAAATGATTACAATTGAATTTTTGTTGTTTGACGTTTAAAAGTCGTGAGAATCCGTTCTGTGTCGAGTAACTCGACTCATAATTCGATTGAATTGTGAAAAGCGATTCTATAACTCGATTTGTTTTGACTTCGGAAATTCAAGAAAAGGCATTTCTTTATAAGCTTACCAGAACATACTTCTGTAACCAGAGCATTTCTTTATAACGTTTGGTTACTCGGCTTTGGTTACATGTTACCAAAGCATATGTTGCTATATCTAACGAGGCATTTATTTATAAGCTTACTAGAACATACTATAATAAAAAATAACAAAGTCAAAACATCCTAAAATTTCTAAAATTCAAATTCCGGTTAGAAATCCCCAAACTTAAATTAAATTTGACATATGACATTCAATAATAGGGAAACCATGGTATGCCTAATGTCACCACAGTAACCACAATACTGTAACCAAGTATGTTGTAGTAAGCTTATAAAGAAATGCCTAAAATAATGAAGCATTCGAACTATTCTGACTTTTAAACGTCAAACAACAAAACTTATATTGTATTTCTTTAGCCTTGACGTGTATTATTTATTAGGTTTTATTCTTATTGGGTGTGGTTTTTCCAGTGTTCTCATTTATAATTCAAATAACATCTGTAAGTTGCCTCGGAGCCCTATGGAAAATAATAATAGTTGTCCCTCCCTGACACAAATAATTAAATTGTATTGTTTTGTAATATTATTGCGCTTTGCACTAAAGAATGACCTAAGGGAAAGAAGCGATCCTTTCGAACTCTCTGAAAATCGCTGTGGATAGCTTTTTCGACTGAATAAAGATTACCTACCTTCATTAATTTATATTTTATTAACTAATAAATCCTTTTATTGAAGTTTCAAATAGTATAGAGAGTTCCTACTATTTCATAGGGGCAGTATTGATTATTCTTAAACGGTTGGTTAAATTATGAGAAAAGTTGCACAGTTTTGTGCTTATTAAAATGGTGCCAAGAAACCTTTGATATCTACAGGGATATTCAAAATATCGGATACAACATATTATTATAACAATAATTTCATTTTTTACATGAATGTTTTCCACTGCTACCAAGATGGTAGCAAACTTTTTTTTATTATCTAGCCTTTTCTACATCGGCTTTTTGGAGACGTCGTCATCGAGCGCTCCACCGCTAGTGTCTAGCATTCCCACCTTCTACAGGGTCAGAATTATAGGTAAATTTATAATTTAGCCTTGTGCAAATATGTACCAAAAAAGTGTCATTGTTTAAAGTAACGATGACAGGGGGCAACAGTTATAGGGCGAGGATGAAAGAGAGAGAGAGAGAGAGAGAGAGAGAGAGAGAGAGAAAATTACCAGATTCCTCGCTTTTTCCGCGCATGAGTAATTCAAAAAAACTTGTTGATTAACGGGAAAACTTAGGGTTGCCACCTTTTTGAAAAGTGAATAAAGACTACGATGCTGACAGGGGCTCTGGTCTACTGAACTTCTAAAAAAAAAGGTTGACAAGCTTGTGTAAAAAAGCTTTAAAAAGTCACAAGGACATTTTGCTTCAAAAAAGGACTGTCTTTTTCAAAAAAAGGACAGGTGGTACCTTAGGAAAAGTGGATTAAGAGTTTTTAAAAACAATTTAATGGAACATATTAAAAGAGAATAATTTGATTTTGGAGATGTGTATTTTTATAACACAATTTAAAATATGCATTATCTCAAACGTGATTTAGTCATATATGTTGATTGTATATATTTTTTTATTGTATTTTATTATTCAACTCATTTATCTTTTTTATTCACTTGTATATATTAGGGTTACCTATTTCTTCAATAAAGTAATTATATTATGTAAAAGGGGTAGACTTCTTAAAAAAAATCTGGAAGAAAGTAAAACATTATTTAGATTAATGAGGCATAATATGCACACTCATTCTATAATAATGTAGTTTATTTACACACTAAAGATTTTTTAATTGAATAATTGTTTTTTTAGATAAAGGAATTAAAATTTTCTATAAGAGAAACAAAATTATTTCAATTTAGGTCTATATTTACATGGTTTAGCACCCTTGTTTGTTTCACTTGTTGTGAGATTTTAGGATTATTTATTAATCATTTTCCCAACATTTCAATAGTCAAAACATCTATATAAACATTCTTGCGTAAAAAAAAGGTAAAAAAGATGAAGGGCGCAAACTAAATAATGAGTTATCCACAAAAAATGTTTGTAAAGTAGGAAAAATTAAAGCATAGTGTATTTTTCAATTCTTCTTTTTAAGTGTCAGTTTGGATTCAATTCAGAGCCATACATAGTTAAGAGTAGGGATAGAAGTTGCAACAGGCTTTTGGAGATGGTAAATGCCAAACCCCTGTGGCGAACGTCTTTGAACCATGTGTATGAAGTAGTGCTCAGATACTACCGATAGTTGGCCCTATCAATAGTTTCCGATAGTCTCAAAAGTTACTATCGATAGTACTATCAAAACTATTCAATGTTGCACATTATACGGAATTAATGGATCCGGGAATCCCGTGATTGCATACGGGAATGTTTCTTTAATTTATTCATAAGGCAATAGATGGCTGCACAAAGCAGAGACAGGAGGAAGATGGAGGGATTTCGGCGACGTGCATATATGATGAAAAAATTAGTTGGGCAACCTTTAAAACAGATTATGACCTGGTGCTGAATTGCAGAGTGCTTTCTTATAAATTTGGTTTAAGTTTTAATTTGTTTTCTTTTAATCGAATGTCGTGAAAATTAACTTGAAAAATACTGAAAACTTTAAACTATCAATAATTACTTAAAACAATCGATAGTATCAAACTAACAATAATATCATTAGTGCTATCGATAGTACCTGACCACTAGTATGAAGTGGGAGAACTACAAAAAGCCTGTCCAACTTCTGTCTGCATTCTAGCAAGGACATGACTTATACCTGTCTTTGTCGGTCATGGCCTACTTTAGAAACATTTTTGTGGATCACTCTTTAATTACCTACCAAAATAAATCAATTACCTGTAATATAAATCATTCCACTCATTACAAATGATTTCTGTTGTTAGATGATAACCAAATTTTTGGAATTCATCTACTATGTGAGTTAAAAGTGTTGGACTTAATTCCTTATTAAATCCCAATTCACTTTTTTTGTTTTTTATACATGCAAGCAATTTGTAACGCATTGTGGAATTAAATGTCTTTGATTCATTAACTTTTTTAGATCTGTTATCATTGTCATCTTTATTAGTATTTCTCCTTTTCAAGGGGCTGTGGTATTGCTTATGCATTAAAAATTCGGGACTTTGGTAGAATATTCTCATCGCTTCAAAATATTCATTGAACTGTTGATTTTGACATCTTTGTTTCATAAGTTGCCTACTTTCTCTGTAAGACTGTTTTAGAAGTTCCCATTGGGTATAAATATCTTTTTGGTTTATGTTATTGTTTCCCAATTCTTTAAATTCTTGCTCTATAGATTCTAAAACCTCTTGTGTAAGTCCATACTTTGCCAAAGAATCTCTATGGTTAGTCATACAATCGATAAGGAAAAATATTAAGTGTGAATTAAATTTTTCTGATCTTTTTTGATCAAAGCAGTTATCCATCAAATCAAATAAGTTCCAAGCCTGCTTTGCATCTTCAGCCGAAAAATTTTCTTTATAATAATAATATTCTTCTAGTAACTCTTTCCATGTTAATAATATTTCCTTCTCCGAAAAAATATGACCTTTGTTTCTAAATGTCTCCTGAACATCCCTGACGAACTTATGTAAATTTACAGATTTGTTGGTTTTGGTTAGATTATGGGTCATAAAAATATTAATTAGTAGTCTTATTCTTTCGTAGTCATCCATAAGCTTCATTTCTTGATATTTTCAGATATTATATTTTTTCAAACTAAAAAAATCGAAATCTAAAAACTAAAACCCGTTTAGCTGAGCGGTGCACGTGTGGTGTAACACATCTTCTTTTTTTAGTCTCTATCTAGTGGTCTTTATTTTATAAAACCAAACATTAGGGTCCGGTTTACGTTTGGCTGATGGTTAGTAGCTGTATAACCCGATTCTGGAAGAGAAGAATTTAGGCATTCCAAACCACAGATTTGGATAGAGGCACATACTTTGATTTTCTTTTACTATACGGAGAATGGTCGCACGGCGCAGCTTTCTGAGTGCCTTTTAAAAGGAGATAGAAAACTCCGCCATTTTGAACCTTATTACGTGTTGCCTACATCTTGGCGCAATATTTTTAATAGGTGCGTTTTAATCATCCGCTTCTACTTCGGAATTGTCGGTTTTCTTGTTTTAATCTGACAGGTTAAAACGACCAAACCGACAATTCTGGAAGCAGAAGCGGATGATTAAAACGCACCTGGATGTCTATTCTTGAAATTGGGGAGTAAGAAATATTGAGAGAAAATTCTCACTTTCTACTCCCTTGTAAAAATTCGTATTCTTGAAATCGAATTCACCAAAATTGGTGGAGAATTTTCTCTCAAAATTTTCTCCTACTTTTAGGTAGAGAGAATGAAAATAATGAGAGAATTCAATTCACGCAAGCATGCGCAGTGCGTGTCAGAATTTAAATAAATAAAAATATTACGATAACCTCATTTATGTTAGTAGTTTTCAGGTATATTTATACCTTTGTGATATTTACTTTCCCTTTAAAATGGATTTAGACGTGAAAATAATAAGAATAATTTTTATTCAATACAGATAAATTTTAGACAAAATGAAAAAAATGGTTTAATTATAAAGAGTAGTAGTGTAAAATTATCTCCTTACACTATAGGTATAATACTCCCCTTTTTCAACAGTAATAACTCCCTCACATCTTTTAAATTTGTTTGGACTTTGACTCATGTTTTTAAAATGAATAATTATTTAGGAAAGTAATACCTTCTACAATCGTAGAGTTTTAAACACATTTAGAAGGATATTCAAACTTGAATTATTGCCAAGAGATTTGAATTTCTAGTTTGATAATTATTTAAAACGACAGTTAATATTATTTTTAATGAACAATATCAATTTAAAATGTTTATACGTGAAAAAGTCAAAATTCCGTTGTCGATAAAAACAAATCATAAAAACTTAAGCCATATTCGAGCGGTCGACTAGTTTAAATATATTTCATGCTATTTGAAAACGGTTTGAACTATACCCATTCGAGTGACCAAACAATGACGTCACGTTAATTAGGTTTAAACCACCTGCATCTGTTTTTGAAACGTTTCATAAGAACGGTTTGAGGAAATAAAAATGTCATTAATGTCAAAAATAATAACAAACATCAAAGAGGATAGCAAAGACAATAAAATTCATGATAAAAAAAATTATGTATAATATGGCCATAAGAAAAGATAGAAAATGCATAATTATGAAGGTTTATAATTTTAAGAAATGGTTGAAAACTTAACCTTGTAATTCTAAATAGTCAGATTCTACATATAACGATCTATTTTCCATAAATTTGATAATATTACATGAGCAAAGTATGTGCATGAGGTTCTCTTTGACATATGAGGCATAAATTATTTGTTGCTAGCTCAGATAAATAAATAATAATTAGGCATTCCAAACTGAATGACTACCAGTGGGTTTTGACAGGTTATGATGTGGCAAAGTTATGGCAACCCTGTAGGCCAGGGGACCTATTTTCAAACCGTGTGAGTACTCATTTCTCTCAAGATTCTCATCAGAAATGTCATACGTCAATGTGGAAACGCTGTTTTTAAAGGCCTCGAGGATCAAAATTCTTAGGAGGATATTAATTATCTCTAAATAAACCGTGAGAAACAATCAGTGAGTTTACACTGGCCCTTAGGACCCTAAAAATACTGTTTTACGTTGACGTATGACATTTCTCTCGAGAGAAATGAATTCTCTCGACTTTGAAAATAGCACCCCGGGGGACCTATTTTCAAACCGTGTGAGTACTCATTTCTCTGAAGATTCTCATCAGAAATGTCATACGTCAATGTGGAAACGCTGTTTTTAAAGGCCTCGAGGATTAAAATTCTTAGGAGGATATTATTATCTCTAAATAAACCGTGAGAAACAATCAGTGAGTTTACACTGGCCCTTAGGACCCTAAAAATACTGTTTTACGTTGACGTATGACATTTCTCTCGAGAGAAATGAATTCTCTCGACTTTGAAAATAGCACCCCTGGTGATTTGACAAGGTGAGTGAAATAGATAGTTACATAGATTGATCATCCCTACTTTTTAAAATAAACATAAGCTTATGCCTTGAAGTAAAAATATAAGCAATTATTATTTTTTAAATATCTTAAGTCTGAAAATTGGTTTTAAAACACATTTTGGCTAAACTGATTCAAATTAATAAATATTTGCCAGGCAATATGGCCGCTCGCAAACGACCAGCTTTGAGCAATGTATATAACACATATGTATCATTGACCCGTTAATGACAACAGGGTTGCCATATCTAAACTGTCAGTACCCACTGGTAGCCATTTGGACAGGTCGTTGGAATGCCTAATAGATAACTGAATGTCAAAAATTTACATTGCATTTGTTTGAAAGCAACATATACAAGCCAGTTGTTAGGAGGGGAAGAGGGGGTTTGTTTACTTTTATTATCCAGTAGCGTATCAAATAAATGTCAATAGAAATGCTTTTGATTTATATTATTTTATTAGTTTTGAGATATTTCAATGGATCAATGTTTCTAATATGAGATGTTTATGGAAAACCGTCAATAATGAATTTTTCAGTCGACCAATACATATATTTTTTAAATTAAAAACATACATTATTTTTATACACAAATAACTTGAATAAACGTTGCAATGATAGGTTTTATAAATTCTAAATTTTTGTACTAATATTTTTTAATAATATCGATTCTTTTGTAAATTATTTTTATTGATTTATTATGAGTACCGCTTATATATGTAATAAAAAATAGAATAAAGTATATGTTTATTGTTAGTCCCTTTTAAGTTAATTAAATTTTGTGCACAAAATATTTATGGTTTTTAATAATTGGAAAAGTAGGGTTAAAAAAACAATTTTTATAATAGGTAGGTACCTATGTAATTCATTTTATTGAATAGTTGGGTTAGATCTGGAAAACAAAACAAAGACAAATGTTATAATAACAGTTTAGAATAAAGCGATACTTATGTAATAACTGATAAGTTCATAATTACCGTTTTAAAATATTGCCAAGGTTTTCTAATACACAATATTTTGAATGATAAACTCAAACATTTTGGCTTTTAAAACTTACTTTCGATGAATTTTGTCAGATAGAAATAAAACAACGTTAATCAATTTTTTAGAGACGTTGTGTTATTGTACTCATTTGGTTAAATAACAATTAATAATGGATAATGGGGTGATTATAATAATAATAATTTAGTTACCAACAATTTTCCTTTCAAATAATTATGTGACAGGTACCTAGATAACTAAAACTAATATTCATTAACTACAGATAAATAAAACCCAACAATTTTCCTACCACACAATTTACAAATTAAATTAATTATATGAGACGTGATAATAAGTAAATATAATATACATTCACTTGAGATGTTGTTGGGAATGGGGTGTTAATACACTGCGACCTAAAATATCTATTGTGCCCCTTGTGTCGCTAATGCACCAAGGAAATGTCTCAATGCCTATGACGACCCTTCCAATCCTATCTTCTCAAGGAAGTGTAGGATTTGGAGTGGCTTCGTGTTAGGTAAATCTCTCTCTCTTTTCTATTTGATATCCTCCTACTAGGTATGGTGCCCTTGGATTCTGGAGTACTACACATTCAGTTAGAATGTGAATGGAGGTTTCGTCCTACTTCTCACAGAATCTGCACTCACTATCCTCTACTATTCTCAGTTTACTAAGGTGTCCTTTTAGTCGATAATGCCCGGTAAGGAACCCTGTTACAATACGAAGCCTGTTCTTGCTCAGGCAGATGTAGGCTGTGATTTATGCCTTATTTATACACTACTCAACAAAACAACACCTTGTTGTAAGCTTTTATTCTCTAGTATTTTGATAAACACATTAATTCAGTAATGGTATAATACAAGACAAAACTCAAAATGAAATACGAACTTGTAATGCGAGACAATGCGCATCTGACTCTTATTAAGTACTCGTGGCGGCATCTACGTACGATCTATAATCCTACGGGGTCACAGACTACAGATGACTGTGATATTAGGAGAAACACTTATATGAAGCTGAAACATAGATGGCGCTACGGGTACTAACATTACTATTTATAAATGGGTATACAGATCTCACACAGGCTTCCGATGTTTTCTGGTTATATTCATCATTCACCCAGAAGTATCTTAACCTGTCTTAGCCTTAAAAGATTGATCCAATTATCGGTTCTTCTACTGCTCAATTCTTTTTTAATCTCGTCGTGGTCGTTTGAACGAGAAAACAGTTTGAACGAGAAAAGTCAGTAAATGTGACCATCGCCTTTCAAGGGGATGCTTTAGATGTTCTTCAGACTGTACCTGTGGAAAAAACGGATGACTTTGAAAGACTTGAAGGATCGTAAGCAGAATCGAGACAAGTCTCCAAGAATACGAATTAGATATTTCCAGGATGATGCGATACTGGCAACCATTTTCCTACTACACAATTTACAAATTAAATTCATTATGTGACGTGTAACTATAATAAGTAAATATAATATACATTCACTTGAGATAAATGAAACCTTTTTTAATTTAGACAATAAGAAAACATATCATAATAATTACATATATTATTGTGTTATTAAAATAACATGAATAGGTAATTAAAAAATTACAAAATTTATTGGTTCCCCTACTACTACTTAGAATATTCAAATTAATTAGACATAGACAAAAAAACATTTTTATTATTTATAGTTTTTGTTCAAATACTCACTTAGTTTCAGATGTAGAAGGTTTAGAATGTGACATAGTTTCCAGTTGAGGAACAGCTTCAGGATGTGAGTAAAATAAGGGCATTACTCCTTTCATTAAAAACATTTTTCCTCCTGGAGACTTAGCAAAGGCAGAATCCTCAAAATGTCTTGAACAAATTCTACTGAATACACTCTTCATCCTCACGTATACCCAAACTC